AAGCCGCTGCCTTTGAGTCGCTTCACTAGGCCTTTGATCATGCTCAGGAGCTCGTCGGTGAACGGACGCTGCTTCTCTACGCCGTTCTGGGCGTTTCGGACCTTGGCGGCAGCGACCACTCTCATGGCATCGGTCAGCTTGGCGGTCTTCGCCACAGATGCGATTCGATCCTTCATCGCCTTGTCCACCGCGCAGCGAGTCATCAGGGACTCACGGGGCTGAACCGACACACCGCTCACGAAGTCCTCCTCATGTCTCCAGAGGCAGCTCCAGGCAGCCACAAGGGCCAGGCCGACGGCCACTGTGGCGCCAAAGGACCCGCGCTTTGTCGAAACCATGGCCGCAGATCGAAACCGACAAAGGCCAGAAAGGACTGAAAAACAGCGAGGCGATCACAGATTGGCGTGCCCCGTTCTGTCCAGTAAATTCTGGTGGAGCATTGCTGGCCTGAGACTCGGAGGCAGTGGAAGGCGAGCTCAGAAAGCCAGCAACAACCTGAGGCCAAGGGTTTCACGAGACCCAGCGGGCCTCTGTTTTAAGGTCCGAACGAAGTACATGCCGGCCAGGAAGAACTCACGGCCAACCTGAACGTAGGAGCAGCGCCCCCGCTAGGAGAATCTGTCTCACGAGCTCCGCTAGGACGGGGACCTTCCAGCCCCAAGCCCCCTCCAGGCCTTCAGGCACCGGCCTTCGCTTTCATCCAGCCGTGATCGCATGGCCTTCACCTGCGAACGTCACCGCGAGATGCCACGAGGGCACTGTGCCGGCGCTCCTCCCACACGCCCGAAGCAGATGCCACGAGAACCTCCGTGAAGGAAGGCGCCGACGCGGCAGACGCGCCGACGCATCACGCGCAGATTGAGTGGCCCACGAGGAGGAGGCCCGCACAGAGGTTGTGGAGACCCGGCCTGGCTCACCGAGGCCGAGAGGACTTTGAAGGTGAAGGTGAGTCCACTGAGCATCGGACCAGAAGCTCTGCGATCGCAGTGTGAATATCTGGGTTCCGCAGTCAGAACTCTGAACTGTGGCGAACAGCACCACAACAGAAAATGAGAAACCCCAAGCTCCACAGGAAGAACAGCTGCAACAACTCCAGACTTGCGATCTGTACCCAAATGCACTCATGCATGTGGCCAGGGCACCATGTATAGGCCGTTGGCTATCGCCACAGCCCAAAAGGCAACACCAAGCCTTTGCTGTCGTGTTGAATGCGCATGCTCGGCAGTCGCAGAGATTGTCCGAACCTGGTCTCTGTGAGAAAAGCCAGGGCTCCGGCCCGCGTGATGCTCGCAGAAGGGTCGATTCTTCCGGCGGCAACCTTTGTTGGGCGAACTCCCTGACGAAAGCAAGCCAGGCGAGCACAGCACTCGGCGCTCACATTGGGGCCAGAACTCGACAGTGCCACTCATGGCGGATCGCTTCTGCCATGCGTGGCCGGGGCACGAAAAAGTCTCGCCCTGGAACCGCAACTACGATGCTTGAGTTGCATCAGTTGTGCTGTGTCTGACCGATGGATGCAGACTGTTCACTGAGCACATTTTACCATTCGGGCCTAGTTGCTGGTCTCACTTCTGTTCCTATCTATCTGCCTTTGTGATTCTGCTTCGGGCAAAGCTTGGGATTGGAAGGTTGGGGCCTTAGCTGTGGTCTGGCCCTAGATCTGTCTGACCTTTGGTACCCCGGTAGCGAGGAGAGATCAACCTGCAATGTTGAGGAAAGAACGCAGTCACTCACCCTTATCGAAAGCAGCAGTAGTTTCCCCACCGCAGCACAATGTTTCAACCGACGAGGGCAGCATCGTAGTGCTGAGACATGGCCATCTCTCATACATAGTTCAACGCGTGTGCGTACTTCAACAGATCAAGGCTCAGTTCTAGTGTCGAGTATTGCATACAATCCACTGAGTCATACTAAGTGCCGAGTACACCCTTGTTGCCCACTGGCGTTAAGCACCAAGCCTTTGAACATGGGGTGGTACATATCATGACGATGGTGCAAATCGAGGTTAGTAAGGGGACTTCGAAACTGATACATACAAGTCAAACCTAAGATGAACGACACTAGCACTAGGGCAAAGTTACTGGTGAAATTCTGGGGGAGTTGTTAGGGCTGTTTATGGGCTACATTTTCCCAGGATATAAGCAGGCTTCCGACTAGGATTTTCCATTAGTGTAGCGCTTTATGTTGTTACTGTGGTCGAGGCGTAGAGTTTACATTATGGATAATGTTGGAGCCATTTTTGAGGGTAAGGTCAAAGTCACCTCTGTCTAGAATCAGGAATTGCTTTAGTTACCCGGCGATTGTTAACGCTCCTGTTCGGGGTTTAGCTTATTCGTAGGACCTGCTAACGTTGCTGTCTATGACGGCTGGTGGTGGCAATTGGGGTTGCTGCTCAGGCGCCAGTCGGCTTTGCTGTTCAGCGTAGCGTGCCTTTCGTTTCTACAGCAATGGGGGCTGGATGCCGGCCAGACCCCAAAAGAATTGATAGAGGCGAATTCAGACTTGTCTTCAGTTGAACGTAAAGGCTGCAAGATTTTCTGCTAGGTTGTTAGTATTTGCATTGGTGAAAACATGCTTAATCATAGGCCCATGCTATCAGCCATGGTAAACTGAATCTGAAAAGCAGTGTAATTCTTAGGTCTTTCGTTTGGGGCACGAGTACTACCAGGTATAAGATATATGGCTGGTATTGTTCATCTTCAGCCTGTTTCAACAGGTATCAGCGAGCAGCATACGGAAAACGCTGCAATACGTCTAGATGAAAAGAACCCTTACACGGCTAGGGCAGCATGTGCATTTCAATACGGTTTGCCATCCGCCATGCTGGCTGTATGAAATCTTTCAATAGGAAAGCGTACGAAGAGTCAGGATCATACGGTGTGTACACCTTCGGTCACAGGGACGGTAGGACCGGTAGGATAGTTGTGCTGAATTGTGCTGATGAGTCTGATGCGTGAACATTAGACTATTGAATGCAGGACTGCGCTAGCGGGCCCATATCTCCGAACCATGCTGGGACTACATCTCCTAACGACTGGCATACTGCATGACAAGATTAGTTACAAAGGTGGTTGTGCCATGTTGTGCCAGTAAGCCGATTATTGCTCGAGTTATACTACATGTAATATCTTGTGTAACAGCACAGTGAGAAGAAAAACAGGAACGGTTAACTGAGTTCAACCGGTCCACCTTTTTGACTGGTTTGGGAGTCGCATACACTAAGCGCTTGCAAACAGTGTGTCCCACTTGGCCGACTTGACTCGACACACTTGACCTTTGACTTCAGCCCGAACTTATGGCTTATAGGCCCACTAAGTGCGGACGACGGTGCCCAAGCCTCGACCTACCCTCGCTGCTGCTTTTGCACTGTTCCCCGCCGCCCTTTGCCCGGGGTGCGGGCCGCCGACGACACTTGACACAGGGTGATATTAAGAAAAAGGCCCGCTAATCAGGCTTCAGCATTCAGATTGAAACGTACGAAGCATTGGATCAAGGCTTTGCCGAGCGCTACGCAACGGCAGACCCTAAACCCTAAACCCGACCTAAGTCCTAAACCTAAACCCTGGACCCCGAATTAAACTCAAGGCACAGGCCGCGCGCATCGGCAGCGCGTAAGGCCCTCGCCACAAGGGGGCCCGCAGCACCCCCACGTCGGACCGCGGAACACGTTCTCCCTGCAACCAGTACTGGGCCCTTACACGTTCATTGTCCGAAACTTCAAGCTCGTCGCCCCGTCTAGTGGTTTGGACCCGAGCGTCTAGTGGTTGGGACCCGAGCGAGCAAATTCCAGGGTGCATGCCCTTTGGGCTGAAAGTAGTTTTGGAACGCTTCGTGCTAGAACATGTCAAGCAAGCCGCAAGAAATGACAAGATGTTGACAAACGGCGAAATGACACATAACTTACCAATATATCAATGCAAAATAAGTACGTGATGAAACCCAAGGTTTAGAGATCCGACATTCTTACAATCTTAGAGTCTCTAAATGCCACGCACCAGGGCCACGTCCAATGTGGTTTGCTGGAAAGCGCTCCCGCCGCCGCAAGCAGTCGGCCCAAGGATCGGGAGTAACCATGACAGCAGTTCCCTGGACACCTGCTCTATCAACTGAAGCAACTCAGCTATCCCACCTGTGAGCTCAAGGCCTGCGGACGAATGCGCTTTTGGACAACGGCACATGCTCAGCCTATGAAGGCGGACGGGCTCTTTCACAAGATCTCAAGGATGCAGTGGTGAACAGCAGAAAGTGTAAGAGAGGGGGCTGCAAACCCGGCATCCGGCACATTTTTCGCCTTTGCGGCCTTGAGAGCCAGAGCCACGCTCAGAGCCCGGTCCCAGGCGAGACGCCACATCTCGAAGGCGCTACATCCGGCACGATGGTGCAAGGATGGTCTTCAACTTCAAGGAGACTGCGCATCTCTACTCGGCAGGCGAGCTCGGCTACGAGAATCCTCGAGCTCCCCGCTGCCTTGTCCTGCGGGCCGCAAGACACCAGTGCTATTTGCACAGTCAGGCCTTTCTGAGAGACGGGTTGAACAAACGAAGGTGCCAGCCTTCTCGTCACAACTTTCTTCTTTGAAGTCCCCACCTGGCGGCCGCTGGTTAGGCACCATCATGAACCACCGTCACGTCAACACATCAGTTCGGTCTAGTCTCCCTGCACTCACCTTGGGCTTCTTGGCCTTAGCACTTGGCCAGCCCTCGGAAGGTGCATCAGCAACCTGATCGAAGCATCACATCCAGTCGTGCCTCCCCTGATGGAAAGCTGAGACGGTGCCTCATAGCCCTGCTTCTCCATCTCAGCAACGATCCCTTCGACGTGGCAGCAGCCCACCTGCAGCGCGGCCAAAACCAGCTACTGCCTACCCTCTTCATGGAGCACCGCCCATGCGTGTACCGATGCAACGCTGCGGTTTTGCATTCGATTCCGAATTGCTTCCACCGACGTCCCATCACAGGATTTGGCCAGTGTGCCACTCAAGAAATTATAAGAAGGCTTGCCTTGGACGGGCCTTTTCCAGGACTCACTACGTGGGACCCCAAACAAAGCCGAAGTCCAAACTCTTGCGGACTGCACAGGACAGCAATTGCCTGAAGCACTGCGTGCGAGCCCCCCTTCAGGATCTCTTCCCTCGGCTCGCCGAGGACGCGCTGCGCTCTGCCATCCAAGGCCTGGTTTGCCGGAATCGAAAAACACTTGTGATTATGCAGCGACTTGCATTCTCTACCGCCTCGCAAACGGCTCGTGCCATTGCAGAGTCGCGCTCCTCCAAGAAGAGACCTTGAGCTCAAACCACGCAGAAGAATATAGCCTCTCGAAACCAACAGACTGCGCTACTCCGTTCGCTGAGGAGATCACGTCGTGTGTCGGCCTCTGCCAAGCCCGTCGCAGGGCCTCGGTGGGGCGATCCACCGCCAAAGAACTCAATGATGCCACTCTGATCGCGACTGCAGATGGCGGTAGTCCCGCCGCAGACCCTTCAGAGGTTTAGGTTCATGTATTCAATATTGTTCGCAGGGTTTACGGCCCCTTCTGGTGCTGTGTCCACCGAACATGTGTTGACACTGATGCAAAGCCGGACCGCCCCTCCAGTGCGTGAAACAAACCTCGATAACAGTAAGTAGTTGACGGCAAAGACCAAGACCGTAATCCAAGGAGGACAGGTCGCCTGCATGCAGCAATCCCACGCGAGATGCCAAAGAACACTTGCGTCATCCCTCCCTCCCTCCTTACCTCCCTCATTCGCTGACATACTCCCACATACATCCACATGCACATACAGACACAAAGAACAGTCCCACTCACTGACACCCTCGCCGCTCTCAATGTTCAAGCAACGAGTTATTCCAATCTTTCCTCCGTGACCAGCGAGCACCGCTTCTCGGATGATGGCCTCCTCTGCCTCGCAGCTGCTGCGTTCTCCCCAAAACGCAGCAGTCACTTTGTCTCAGAGCAAAAAAGGACCCGTGCCTCCTGGAAGCGCATGGCTTCAGAAAGATCACTGAGAAAAGCCAACCGCTTCTCCTTAGCACTGACCTTGTCAGGCACTGACATGACCGTGCAGCCACAAAAAAGACTGCATACTTTGCACCTCGCCCTAAGCGTGCACCAAACTCGCGATGTGACTCAAGGCTCAGTGAGGCTAACGCTTTCTTGTGTGTCGCTTCTTACGGGAACAACAACGTAACAATGTCACAAGTGCTCACTAGCTCTGGCTTACCGTCCGATTTCTGCCAACCTGCGGACCTGGTCTTGAGGCCCTGGCCCAGGCATCGTTGTAGACAGGTATAATTTTGCTGAACCTCTGCCATACGGGATATCGCGCAATGACACAGCACATGGTCCTTGTGGCACGCGTGGAGACATTCTGCACACGCTGACACCCGTTTTGTGGAATGCAACATCGGCCTTCCGTGAAATGAGAGAGTGACCGTGCACCGTGCTTGCAAGCAGCATCGAAGCAGACATTACCTTTTGGGAAAACATCGGGGGGTGCCTCCTGAGGCCGTCGACAGACCCCTCAAAGTCTGCTTTTGTGATTTTCCACGAAAAGCTCGTGTCGCTCCGCAAATGCTGTGGCAAATGCTGTGCTGTAGGAGGAGTCTACAGATACCTTACCCAATTTCTGTGCATGGGTTTGAGAAGGCAAGCCAGCACCTCCCGTCGTTGCAGTCTTCGCACACACACACACACACCACACACATATGATTCAATCGCAACACGTAGCAGTAGCTCAGCCCACGAAATAGAAAAAGCAACACGACCGAGACACGTCCATTCCTGCGGTAGATCACAGAGCAGAACCGGGGCTGCAGCCTGGAGAACACCAGCACAGCAAACTCTACTAAACTCGGCGAGCACCAAACGCGAAAATCTTCGGGCCTTGAAGGCTGCTTGGACTGCAGCTCCGGCGTCTCTGCCTGGGGCGAAGGCAACCATGCTCGTTCTGCGCCCGGCAACCGTGAAGCCCCACACGGCACAGCCCGGAAAGCCATGCCAGGTAGCGCACCCCAGTCGCCATAGGCCTACACAGACGATCTTGCTCCAACCCTCCCCACAAGACCAGTCATAAGACTGACAACACAGCCGACACCGGCTGTTGCCTCTGCGCGAAACTCGTCCAACGCAAAGACCTGGCGAACTTGTCGATGAGCAACCGCTCTGCACTTCACACAGAGACTTGGGCTGCGGCGTTCATGGCCTCAGGAGCAAGTAACAAGCTGTCAGCTTGCAAAGAAGGCAAAGTCGAGCCTCTGCTGTGACCCTCTGTCGGTAGCGGCTTAGCTTGTCGGTTTGCAGTTAAGTCGCCAGACACTTCTCACTGCTCTTGTCAAAGATGGTTTTCATGGCTCGGATATAGTCCTTGACCTTGGGTCGCTTTTCCGGAGTCTGTCCAGACGGAACTTCTGCGCTGCTCACACAAAGCGGCTTGGCTCGCAACGGACATCTGAGACTTGCCCAACCTCGCCTTGCAGAAGACGAGCTGACACAAGATACATGTACGAATCTACGAAGCGTCCTGAAGATGTGACTAGGGAATCAGGAGGCGGCTCGAATCTGCTCCATCAGCGCGTCGTCCAACCGAAGCCTCACTTTAAGGCCGAGAAGAGAAGGACACAGAAGGACACATTTTTGGGCGCTTCCAAGATGGTGTCAGTGTCCCCTTGCACTTGGCGCTCACCGGGTGCTCCGGCTGTGGTCCGAGACCAAAGGCCTCGCACTGTGCGCAGGCCTGAGACCTCTCCGGCATCCACGCCCCTGTCCGAGTCTCTCTCCCCATGTCTTCCTGTCTTCGCCTCGAGGAGCCCAGGTGATCCCGAGGTCGAGGGCGGTGGCAGCAGCACAGTGGAGCGACCTTCACTAAGCCATATTCAGAAGCCAAAGCTTACATGTCCACCCTTTCTTCACCCAACGATGGACTGCCGACTGACACATGGCAGCTAACTCGACTGCTCAGGCCTCGCAACTTCGCTGGAAGGTTTTCCAGCTCTCGACCACCGCGATCCTGGTGGCTGCAGACCACGACGCAAACTCCTGTCGCACCTATCGCTTCCGAAGTGCCGAAGCAGAATTTGAGGTCCGACCTCATCCAACTCAACGGCCACGAGGTCTGGCTTCAACGCTTTGACGAGACGCCGGACTGCCCTCGGAACTGGGTTGTCCACCGCAGCCTTGGAGACACGCTCGCAAGGGGCGCATGGGGCGGAGGCACAAAAAGGCAATCGCTGAGCCAGGCCACCACCCCTGGAACGCTGTGCGGAGTGCCCACCAGAACAATCTGCGCAGAGTCTCAGTAAAGAAAACCCAGGGCGTGGCGCCCAACTGCCTCTTGGTCGCCCTTGCGCAGGGCCGCCACGGAGAGCGGCCCCAGGGACTGGGGAAAGGGAGCCGAAGCGGACCTCACGTAAAAAGTCTCGGCTTCAGCGCGACCGCCGCGACCACGTCTTCGGCCCGGCCCAGGCCTTCGGGCACGCTGCGCCTGCAACCATTCCAGCAGATCCTTGAACTTCTCGATCCCTCACAGGAAACTGTCGAAGCTGATGTGGCATCAGTGCCACCGCGTGCGCCCCTGTTTGTTCGCCAGTTTGCCCGTGTGTTTTGCAGTGCCCTAGCATTTCACTCTCAGGCGAAGCTTTAAAGTTGTTAAACCTCCTCTTGGATGCACTGGCAGGTACCGAAGCTCTTCCGACACTCGAGCCCAGGAACGCACTTGGCACTTCTACGATCTTCTGCGTGCGCACTGGCGGATAAATGGCCGATAGCATCTGCGATGCCCGGTGATTTGAATACTTCGACGGACTCGTGGCTCAGGATTTTGCGTAAGCAAAGTGGCATTATGCTAAAAGTTCAGCTGCACTGGACATCTCAAATTCTAGCCTAGAGAGGACACAACCACTCTGCGACAAAACCTGGCAGCGTTTTGTGCCTTGTCCACCTTCTGCATCTCTCAGGAAGTTGCGGCCCGCGTTCAATACCACTTCCAACCTCAGTTGCTCAGCCCTCACCAAGATGCCCTGCCGTTCACGGGAGCGCCCAGCAGCGGCGAGCTCGGGCATTTCATCCGGAAGGGCTGTTCTCCGTAGCCGGTCTCTGGTTCAGAGATTACGTGGCGACGAACCAATATGTCACCCCGGGCTAAGCCTTTAAACGCCTTCGCCCCAGGCGGCTAACTGTACACTGTTCAGGGTTGGGACACGATGGATAGGCACTGCCAGATCGACGACCTTTGATCTGCCGCACCTCTTCTTGAAATTGAAAGACCACCCCTCCCATCATGTGTGGGACGAGGCAGGTTCTAGATCATGCTGCCGGAACTGATACTTCAGCAGCTTCCACCTTGGCATCGCGTGCATTACTGCGACCCACGTCGCGGGCCTTCTTCTGCGCTTCACGTGCGCGCTCCTCGGTGCTGCGAGCTGCCAGCCAACGGTCTCTAGAGACAACCTTGTCTGGAAGGGCACCCGCATTCTTGCTCCCGTGAGATTCGAATTTGTCGTGGCTATGCTCGGCATCGAAGCGCTCAGCCTCGTTCACACTGAGATCAAAGTCTGCCTGCTCCGTCTCTTCCAGTGTCGAATGGTCAATGCCGCTCGCAGCCACCGCCTGCTCATCACGGAAACATGATTCAGGCAGCAGGCTTTGACTGCACAACATTTACCTGTACCTTGCTCTCCCGTTTAAAACATGGAATGGCTGCAAGAGCATCGTGAACACACGCAGCCTGCTCATAACGGGTCGACGCATCCGCCGCTGCTTTCATGGCGATTTCCAGCTGGGCTTCAGCTGCTTCCAACTCTGCCTCTGCGACAGCCAGCTGCCTTCCATCCAGGTGCCCCAAGTAGGCTGCCTCGTCAGCCTTGAAGGGAACATCCTTGGAACTCAAAGACAACGCATCACACCAGACCAAACGAAGACCCAATGCAGATCCAAGCATCGTCCAGCCGTTCCATGTGGCTGACCTTCTTTGCGCGATCCAGCCACTCTTCGAAGGGAATCTGGTGCACTGTCGGCTTGAGGGTCTCGTCCTTGATGAGGCCATCGAATTCTGCTGCCAACTTTTCATCGATCAAGCCACGCTGCTTCAAGTCAGAGACAACATCTTCAGGCTTGAAAGTGTAATAATTCTCGCGGCCACAGGTCACGACCTTAAGCAGTGCCTGGCGCTTATCGACGGCCGATGTCTCACGGTCGTGCACGGATTTCAGCCGTGCTGCAAGATTCTGAGCTCCGTTCAGGACTGCCTCTGGGCTGGCGCTGGCTGCCGGAGGTCGCGGTGCAGGCGCAGACTCCTTCGGAGCCGTGGCTTCCACTTCCTGTGACACATAGCCTGCCTCCATCTTGCGATCCCGTTGCCTGTTGCGCATCAGCTCGCGAGCACGCTTGGCAGACTCCCGGGCTCGCTTTTCGGTATTGCGTGCAGCCACCCAGCGCTGTCTTGAAACCACCTTATCTGGCAAAGCACCTGCGTTCTTGGGCTCCCTCTGGAGGTGCTTGTGATGCTGGTGCTTGTGATCCTCTGGCGGCAGAGCCTCTGCCTCATCGATGGGATGATCCTCTGACGGCTGAATGTGAGGACTGTGCTTGGCATCGGCGGGCTTGTCTTTTCCTTCCTCGAGCTTCCTCGCCAACCGTTGGCGGGCATGCTGGTATCGAACCTCTGCCTTCTCCATTTGAGCTTCCATTGCGTTCAAGTCAGCTTCGATGACATCCAACAGCACATCGTTCTGCTTGAGCTTTTGGTCCTCCTGGTCCTGCTTCTGAGCAACCTCAGACCAGACCACTGCATCTGTCTCCGCCATCTGAGCTCAACCTGCCGCTGAACAAACGGAGTGCTCGATCCCAAATTGAGTCTTTGAGCAGTTACGGCAGATGCAATCCGACGAGAAATTGGTGACATCTCACGATCCCCCTGTCTGGCCACAGGAAGCACAGTCTGTGAGTTGCAAGGCTCGTGCTCCTTCTTCAAAGGCGTGCAGCCTTCCAGTTCATCGCCCACTTGAGCGATGAGGTCCTTGCGAGACGCAGGCGGTCTGACTCTATCCCAAGGCCCAGGCCCTTGATAGGTCAGAGGCGCTCTCCTCAGCCACATCGGAGGTGGCGCGGAAACCAACCTCGTCTTGGTCCCCCAACAGAAAAAGCCCTTTTGCGCAGACTTCTTTCGGAAGCTCGGTCCCGCTCTCTTTGCCGATGCTTGCACGGTGGCACATTCACAAATGCCTGCGGACATGTGCAAAAACAAGGATACCTTGGAGCTGGCAAGGTGCCTGGGACCACCCAGCCCGCCAGAAGCTCAAGCCTCGCTGACAAAACACAGCTTGTTCTTACCTCTGGCGGGTGAGAACCTGCCTGGGAGAGCGAGCAGAGCGAGCAGAAGCCACGCACGCCTTCTCCACATGGCGTCGCATTCTCGGAGAACTATGAAGTGTCTTGCTTGGGGTTGAAGGCATGCAGCCAAGACGATGCTCTGTGCAGCACAGGCTCAGTAGCAGTCTTGCCTTCGAGCAGTTATGAAACTGCGTGCAGGTATCATAATTGCCACGAATATCAAGGATGACTCGCAAATTGCAAGGTATGACTCCTGGCGAAACCGCCGAAACTGCATTGCAACTAAGACCGGGCCACCTCAGCTCTTTTTACTGTACATCATCTATATCACAACACTGCTCTCATAACGACCGGTCCGCGATGCAGAGTTGGGACGGGGTGTGGCCCGGCATCCCTCACATGACCTCAAAATTTTATAAAGTATGCGGATTACAATTTTCTCCACATTGAGCGAAACACCGCCTGTGTGAACGTGAGCAGTGAGGATGCAGACTGCCAGAGCTCTCTGCTTTTGATGCGCAGATGTTCTTCTTTCAAGTTTGGATAGAAACAAATCACGGAAAGTCTGTTAGAGCGACCGATCGAAACCGTAGGACATCAGCACCTTTTTGCTGCGCAAGCAAGTTTAGTACCAGGCGGCGTTCCGAACGTATCGCGCCATTCCCGCCGAACGACATCCCTTGTCTTAGACGCAGCTCCGTTGAGGGTTAGACGCAGCTCATTTTTTAATTGAGCTTCAGGCCTCCCTCCTTAGTTCAGCCTCGCTGGCGTCACTGCGCAGCCGGGCTGCCTCCGTGCGGAGATCCTTGACGGCGGCAGCCAAGGCCTGTAAAGGACTGCAGCAAGTGCAACCTTGCCCAGAGGAGAGTCAAGGCCTGCAGGCCGACATCGAGACACTGAGTAACGTTTCGGGATTTTCGCGCAAGGCCAAGAATGAAAATCCGTGGAACATACAGAGAGCCTCCGGATTGACTCCGAGCTCACACAGGCCGACCAGGGCCTCCAAAGACTCCTGGCAAGCAAGGAGAGCCAGATTCCGGTGATTAAAACAAGCTCTCCTTGTTCAAACCGGTATTGAGGAGCGTAGATATCTCGTACAGGATGTCCATGGTCTTCGACAAGAGCGTTGCATTCAAGCTCGGTGCTTCTTTGGACAAGGGGACCTCTTTGCGATCCAGCTCTTGGACTTCCTCCCTGGAGGCCATCGCTGGAGACGCGTCCGCTGCGCGTCACCCTCACCCTGTGGCTTTTAAGTGCCTCGTCTGAGCCCCAACAAAGCACACGAGCGCAACGCGACGCTCTCAGAAAGCCGTGGCAGCAACATCTCACGCAAGCTGGTGGTCTCAATGCCGGTTTTGCATCGGCTGCTATAAAGCTTGTGAAAGCAGTGAAACTCGTAAGGTACACTCTGCCCGGTCCTGTTGTTGACTGGAGCAGGAAAACCTAGCAGGCGTTTACTGACCAGCTGGAACAAGGTTGGTCCCACCCTCCACAAAGATGCCCCCGCCGCCCTCCATCCTCTCGTTCTCCGTTTTCGCACACTCGCGCAGAAGCTCCTCATAGTTGCAAATGATGTCTTTCACGCCCTCACGCGCTTCATAGAACGCATCGATTTCTCCATTTGCATCAATGAATTGCCAGACATAGGCTCTATGATAAAAAAGCTTCAGAAACTTCGTGTACTGACGCACGAAGACCTGCCGAACAACTGTGCTGTTGGCGAGCATGGCACCCAAACGGCTAATTTCAGCCATCACCTCATCATGTGGATCTTTGGCAGGGGGCACCCCTACGAGGCCTACTTTGAAGCCTGCTGACACCCAGGGTGCAAACTTGACGGGAGATCGATGGGTTCCATCTTTCATGGTCTGGACGGCCGCTATGCATTTGTTGGCTTCCAAAGGCTCCGTCCTCGCAGTGGACGGGTAGCCAGAAGCGTCGCTTTCACTCTTGTCTGGCCGCAGGCTTTCAACTCCTCTGAGAAGAATGACGGCAGACAGGTAGCGATTGGTCTTTAAGTGAGTTACATCACACAGGACACTTGAGGTCTCGAACAGCTCGACACAAATCTCTTGTGGTGAAAACGTCTCGTGGCGCTCCTGAAACTTGCTGCGAACAGGTGCAAGCGACAAGACCGGATATCGGAAATTCCTTGCAGGGACAAGATTGGTGACTATCTCCACCATTTTGGCACTTAGCTGCGCTTCGAAGCGAAGCGAGGTGGTACATGCCGAGATCGTTTGTGCGATCAAGTGATTGACATGATGGAAGTCTGGATTCTTGACCTGCTGTTTTGTCTCGACCATTCTATAGACCGCCTCGTTGTCCATCATCATGGTCACATCGACCACATCCTTCATGTAATATGTTGCGAAGATGCAATTGTAAGGTTCCACCATGCTGCTAGAAAACCGGCGCGAAGGGTAAATCGTAGGCTGGAAGATGACCTTCTTGTCGAAAGCATCATGCAAGTCGTGTAGAACTTCGCAGCCGACTCCTGACCCGGTGCCTCCGCCAAAAGCATGGAACACGAAGAAGCCCTGCAAGTTCGAGCACAAGTCCACCTGTAAGCGAACCCTGTCAATAACGTCTTCCTTCACCTTCATGTGGTTGGCCATGAACCGGCCCTCAAAGAAGTTGCTCTTGCAATCCTGATTATACCCGAGGACATTCTCCGGGTGAAAGAGTTCAGGACTTTCGGCCAGTATCTCGTTTTTCGTGCTTGGACAGGTGTCAACGAACACTGCCCGAGGCACATGCTGGCCTGCATGCGTCTCAGAGAAGAAGGTGTTGTAGTTGGTGTCGTCTGCATCGGTAAAGCTGTGTTTGAGAGATTCCAAATCCCGCTTGCCATCGTCCCCCACGCAATGTTCTTTGCAGAAAAGTGTCCAGGTGTCTTGACCAATCTGACAACCGGCCTGGCCAATGTGGAGGCAGATGCACTCTCCATGCGTGCTCGCAGCCATCTTGCAGGATCGATCTGATACCTACCTTCTTTCAGAGAACTGAGTTTAACTCCAAATCCAAATCTTCAAGTGGGAGTTGGCATAGTCATAGTGGTTTACAACCCGGCCCTGCAGACCTACGAATCACAAAAACCCTTCCTTAGCCTTCATGTCCAGCACACGTGAATATCACTAAGCTGGGGACGGACTTGCACGAAGCGAGCCAAGCCGCACGATGATGCTTGATGGCTCCCATGCCATACAACATCTGACATAGCTGACATGCCGTCTATGACAGAAAGGTGTGCCCAAACGCCGTCATCACACATTGCTTTAGAAATCGACTGGAAACAACATGACGAGAGTAACGCTAAAGGTGAAACGATCGCGTAACAGCAGCCGCTCGGCGAGATCTGCAAAGCAAGAATCACACATCAAGAACTTAGGAGGTCTACTTATCATATCGCATCTTCTGCATGGCAGCTGCACTGCGCCGTAGAACGGCATAAGGCTCAAAGCCTGGAAGCGGCAAGTCTTCCAGGCAGGGTGAAGCGATTAAACGATTTGCGAAAGTTTCTGAGATCCAGACACGGCGGATCTTGGCACACTCAAACGGTGCGGAACCCACGGACCGGGTGTCAGGCAGACTCCCTCGCCCGGGAAGTGCTGCGACCAGCACCAAATGCTGAGATCTTTCGGTGGTCTCTCCTTTTCTGACATAGACCAAACGAAGAACTTGTACTTCTGACTTACGGCACCTCACAGCTTTGATGCTCGGTCGGCTGAGTCCTACTAGTTGCAGCAAAGACCGCGCTGCAACGCTTGAACTATTTACAACATGCATGAAAACACCAGCAGTTGCTGTGCATGCATCTAGGTGAAGAGCACTTTAAACATGATTCCGGCGCCATTCGCTGCTGCGGTGTCACAACTAGCATGCTGACCTACATGGGCCAGGCCAATTGGCTGACGCTGGGGATGCGATAACACCACGCAGCAGAACTCACGTCCGGCACAAGACTAAACCAAGCCAAACTCTCGTTCGCGAATTCGTGCTGAAGCTTCACTACCCTGGTGGTGCTCAGTGATGCATGCGATTTCCGGCACGTCATCAGCTGAGTCCAGACCACCGCTCTCCGCGAAACGGCACGCTGCACCATCAACCTCACTGGGTTCGAAAAGAGATGTTGAGACTTTTTCCCAAGGCTTTCTGCCGTGCCACTGATAGTGCATGCGCCCAATCCAATGCCTCGGAGACGGCCGGAAGACTTTGTGGCTCGGGAATGCACGTCGCAGGTTCGCGGCAGCCAGTAGTTGCCGTTTGCGTTGGCTCATCCGCCTGCAGACGCCCGCGCATGAAACGGTTCGATGACGATTCCGATGACTTCAGTGACTTCAACATTCCTCGACAATTTTGGTGTGTGCACAGCTCTTTTGCTCCACATGACGAAGATTGAGCCGCCGTAAAGCTCCAGCTGCAAAGCATGTATGCTTCCATATTCCATGGTACGGCATTGTGTATGCTATTGGTTCCTGTGTACTGCACGAGCTGCAAGGAGAAGAGCTCTACTACTGGAAATATGATGACTAGGAAACCATGCTGTCGTGCAGCATGGATCCAAGCCCTCAGAGTGCAGTTGTCGTCTGATGCAGCTGCCAGGCGCCATGAGCCTCGTCGCTACACAGATGGCACACTCATGCAGTCAGGCGGCGTCTAAGGCATGAAGGTTCAGCGGATGGGGGAGGGACATGAGTGGATGGGAATGAGGGAGATGAAAGGACGGCATGAGGGGGTTCTTGCGCCACGTGCTGAGCCTTGACGCCGTACACGATGCTCCACATCTCCGGAGCCTCGGATTCCGCATAGCAATGCGAGCACTGCGCGAGCGTCACAACGTGCAAAATGCTGCCGCCTCGCCTTCTGCAGATTTGGGACGATCAGTCCATCCTGCAAAACTCCAGCTGCGTGGATGATGCTCTCGACACCTGGCCAACCCACTTCGGTGAGGAAAACTTTGGGAACTGCTGAGACCGGAACCCATTCGTCTCTGCGGGAGAGCCAAAGTTGTTGTCGTCTCGGCGCGGCGAGAAGCTGAGACATGCTCTGAGCCACCCTTTTGCGACTCGCAGAGGTCGGGACCGTGATGTTCTTGATCCGGACCCCCAGCTCTTGCACCTGCTCCGCCAATTCGCTTCCAGTCCTGCAGCTTTCGGTCCCTTAACTCATGGCTGACAGCAACCTTTTGCCAGAAGTTGCGGACTGCTCAGGAGGGAACTTCTGGATGGCACGAAGCTGTGCAGGTCCACTTCCTCCGCCGTCCACCCTTGCTTTGAGCCTCTGCTATGGGCTGCTCTCTTCCAGGACATCGAAACAAACCGGCTGTGCTCCGCACTTGGAGATGAGGTCAACCACTTCATCCTCCTGGGATGAACACTGATCATGTGCTTTGGTATGCCACCAGGGTTTGCAAGGCCCAAGCTCGATCTCGCACTTCTTGCGCATCTTCCTAAGTGAAGATGGGATACCGCTGATGCCACATGCAAGCTGCACGAAACCCAGGGACACACCACCGTCACATCGGCACCGAATTGGACCTTTTCACTCGCCTCCTGCAAATTCGAGTCCCGCCCTCGTCTCTGAAGAGATGGTGCACTGCTGTCTACATGTGTCTCTGCGGTTCAATACTGACGCTGACGCTGACGGCTCTGTATGCACGTCCGTACGTCCTTCGAAGTGTCGATAATCTCCTGCCAGGATTCTTTTATCATCTCGTGCCCAGACGGCACCGAGCCGACTGCCTTCTTGATGCGCTCCAAGGTTTCAAGGGAAGGCCTGCATGTCACATGCTGCGCTGCTGTATGCGTGCCGAGCTTGGCTGGGACTGGTGCCTTACCAATTCATCGGGCATGGTCTCGAGCCTTGCATGCGTGAACTGACTTCATCGCTCCTCACTATTTCTTCCTGCAAAAACTACCGAGAAGGATACTGAGAGCGGGTTGCAGTGATGATGCTGCCCAATGTTACCTTGGTCACATGTGCAAGTCTAGTTGCTGTGGCGCTTTGCTCTGACGGCTGCTGCGGCTCCGGCCGCAGACTCTGCCAGGAGACCTGGACGGCCTTGAGTCCGAAGCTCTTGTGTCGCAGTGCACGCAGTCCCTCGCAACACTCGGCCGGGAACAGAAAGCTTGAATGGTGTCCAGAATGACCTGCAACAACGGTAACACGGTTCTTCCGTTTCCATCATGTCATGGTTGTGCTGTGCCGCCAAGTTGCAGAACCATCCGAACAGTCAGCCTTCACCATGTAGTGCGGACCTGGCACCAGTGCACAAATGTCCTCTTGGAGGTTTGCACCGATGGAAAGAGCCATCTCAGGTGTCGACATGTAGTTTGCATTGCTGCCATCCTTGGATAGCTTTTCGTAGTCTGCAAAGGCACGCTTCTCACACTTGCGTTCGAGATGCAACTGCTGCAGCGCAGGTGGCATGCCTGTGGGGCGCCCACTCCTGCCGAGCACTAACTCACAGAAAGAGCAAAAGAGAGACGCGTGAAAGTTCGTCGCCTCGATGTCGCCACCACATGGTCCTCAGATCCGCGAGTCCCCGGATGCAGAACTGCAGCATGCCCTCTTTGACTGCAGCCGTCAAATTTGAGCCCAGCTTTAGCTTTTTCATAAGGTGGCCTTCCCAGCTATGGCAAGCTCGTTCGCTGCGAGCATGCCCAGCCCTCCCAAGCCTCGGCACCAAGGACTTGAGCTGACTCACCGAACCAAGACAAGGGAGAACTCCTGAACAAAGCTGCGGACCACCTGTAATCAGAGCCATCCTGCGGCCAAGTCCTGCCCGAGAGCTTCGCCGAGAACCGCAGCGAGAAAAGTTCGGCGAACAGCAGCACAAGTTGCAGCACTCCTTGGGCCTGGAGCCCCGCCGCTCTTTACTCCGGCAAGGTCTTGAGCCAAGAAGTTTGCAGCAGAACGTCGATGTTGCTCATCATGTCCCAACGTAAACTCTGCGTGATGACAAGCCAACCCCCAACCCTCCATCCACCCACCGAGCCACACCCAGCCACACCCAGACACCCAGCCACACGCAGCCACGCGCAGCCACACCCAGCCACATCCAGCCACACCCAGCCGCACACCCAGCCACCCCGCACCCACCCACCCACCAGCTGACACATGTGCACTCGCCAGAGCTTGCAGCCACCTCTCGACGACGAAGCTGCTGCGACTGCGAGTGCGGCTGGGGTTGAGACGGAGACTCAACCTCACAGAATTCAGAAAACCTTATCCCAGCTTGTTTTTGCAAGGCACTGGCGATAAGGAGTCACAGGACACTGATGCTCGTAGTTTGGACCATCACTTCATGTGATCGGGGTCCCGCACGTCGGAAGTTCTCGGAACAACTTGTCGCTGCTGCCAAAGTGTGGACCAGCGTTCCTGACAGCATGAAAAGTAAAAATGTTCTGTGATTTTCCCAAGCCGAATCCTTGACGCAACTGTCGTTGTGTGCACGTCTTAGCGGCTCTCAGCGACTGGTTGCTGGCTTCCAAGTCTTTCTCGACTTTCTGCCGATCTCGTGTAGAGGCCACCACCATCCCCGCAACTTGCATGCCAGCCAGCTTCCCCGCCTCGGAGTCTCCCTCGGGAACTGAGAGGTCGCTGCCATGAGCCCCTTAGTCAGGACACGAGCCTTGACAGAGCCTGGACGAGGAGCAATGCTGAGCATTGCACGGGCCAAGCCCCAGCTTCCTCGAGCCACCTCCGAATTCGGCAGTTTGCGCCAGGAACCGACGCCCCCAATTCCCGACCTCTGACAAGAGCTGGTCCGAGCTCCAAACGGCATGGCCCTGCAAGGTCAAGGTAGAGAACTCGCTGACCATGTCTTTGCGTGTTCTGCACTTGTGGGGTTCCTGGAAGACAGCGGCACCGAGCGGACGAAGATTCGTCTGCTCTGAGAGAACCTCAAACGACGAGCTGCACAATGCAATATCCTGAGAGGATGGTGCCTACCGCAAGCTTTCAGGACACTCCGATGCATGACTGTGTCTTTGAGCTGGCAAGTGCCACCGTTAGCAGTCTGTCGTTCAAAGCGCTGCACTGTCGGAGCTGCCCCCAGCATGCGGTGCTTCTTCCAGCACGGGGCCCAGCTGACAGTCTGTACATGCCTTTAAATCCGCAGGAGTACAATGGCAACTATGCTTCTTGCCTATCTAGGGTGAAACCAAGAACTCCGGGACTGCCCGAGGACGTCCACATGAGGTCATCGGGGCCCCTGCTCGTCATGGGAGGTCGCGACGTTGGTTCCAGCAGCAGTTTTGGACACACAGCTGGTACAGCGCTCTGCAACGCAGTGTTCACAGCGCTCCGGATAATCTGGGCAGAAAAACAAACAGTTTGACAGCCTGCAGTCTATGAGCTCACCCAAACATCCAGCGCAGCGCCCATGTTGACCTCTACCGAGGATGCAAGAGACCGCGCAATCTGCCCTCTCGCGACCTCTGGGGCGTCTCTTGCATTCCTGACCACACTGCTGTAGATCTGTCGAGTTCTCAATGCAATCTCGACGGGCGACCTTGCTGGCATCATGTGCTTGGTAGTGCCATATCGCAGAAGACTCAGACTCAAGCATCTACTAACAGAGCTAGTGGAAGGCATGCCATGACCATCAACCGGCCCTGCCAACTCGCAGGCAAGATGCAGCCACACTCAGCACCAGCAGGATCAGACCATGTCTCACGGCCATGGATCGAAGATTTCACAGCTGGGGCTAGACCAGCTGTATCAAAGTCACTGCAAGTAGAGCCAGAAAGACAGTCACACAGCAAGTGACTATAGCGGCTCGGCTGGAATGCATCAGTCTGCTACGCAGGTATGCACAAGATAGAGAGCTGCACTCTCAAGTCAGGGCACCTGCAACACATCTCGAAGCTCTGCGAAGAGGGCGCCGCAGGGACCGGGAGCACCCTCGGAGGGCAGGCCTGCATTCGAGGGCTCTCGCAAGAATCTCTTCGGATCAGAAGAAGAGAGACACAGAGCCTGCCGTGCACGCACGCAGAAACATTTTCCGTCACTTGTCATGCTGCCACGCAGAATCCACTTTGCCCTTCTTGTCGGGATGCTTGTTCCTGAGGGACGGACGCGGGGAACAGCCGATGGGTCCCAGCAGTCTTGCAACTGACACCAGGGTGTGCTATGATATGTTTCATGGTGCCTGTCATGTTGAAGCAAGGAGCAGATCTGCGTAGGTGAACTCCTGCCGATAAACCTTCTCATTCTCCGCATTGCGCCCCGTGCAGTCGCAGTAGAAAATGTCGTCGAAGTGCTTCCTGAGCAGGACCACGGCGTTTTCGACGCCTCTCACCCCTTGAGAAAGTAACTGCCGCTCTCACTCAGACAGCTTCGATGCTGCAAGGCTCGCTGCCATGCAGAAGCAGCCTTTGCCACATTTCTGCAAGCAAGCGGGAGCTGGACGCTCTTTCGGCCAAACCTGACATATTCTTCTCGAAAATCCTCCTGAACTCTGAGCTCGGAGTCGCCTTTGCCATTTCGTCCTCACCGACGGCCTGCACTATGCGGCGGGCCTCAGCTTGCCAGGATTGCAATGCCTTCTCCACAGCCCACGTATCGTGATTCTCACAATTTCTGACATTCCCTGTGGTGCCTTTGCCAGAGTCCCTCCGAGGCAATTGTCAGCACAGGTAGCAAGTCTTGGGCACCGGCATCTTCCTCCAAGGAGGCAAGACTCCTCTCAGCAGACACTACGAGTACCATGTGCACAGTCCTGAGGCAGAGAGGCGACTGTTTTTGGTGAAGATATCTGCACTGCTCTTCTGCGAGGCTCAGCCGCACACATCCATTGCAAGAGGGGTCGTCTCCATGAGAACACGATCCTGAGTACTTGCACAGCACTGATTACAGCCACGTTTTGCTGCAGCCAAGCTACATTACGGAGTTCCGACCGATGCATCTGGGCTTCGGAGTAAGGCCTGACAGCCAACCTCGGCAAGAAAATGACTGGGACGCTGGTTCCACCCCTGCATTAAGACGTGCTCATGCTGCAGACAAGGATCCGCTTGGAGTTGCACAAGCGCTGCCAATTTGAGCCGCACGTAGCGATCACAGTGCTTGTTCTAAAGAAGGCAAAAGTAAATAAGGTGAGCAACTTTCACATCTTATGCTGCACACAGACAGGCAGAACATGCCTGAGGACTGCTTTTCATGGCGAAAATACACCTGCTTAAACTCAGCGTACCCGCTTAAACTCAGACTTGGAGTTCGAGTCCTACCGCACAGACCCCATCACGGCATTTGGATTGCTACTTACTGTGCTAAAATCGGCGAAACCAGGTGTTCCAGTCGTGGAGTGCAAATGGTAATCTGGCATGTTGTGATGTGGTGGGATGACGACCACTTCAGGAACCAAATTCACAAACCGCATAGTCAATTCTGGAACCGGAACTTGGGAAAAAACCGAACTTCTGGAACTTAAGTCGTGGACTGCCTGGTCCAATTCCGAAACTGGAACGACCCAATTCGAGAGAACACCTTGAAGTCGAAATTCAGGAACCAGTGAATCTGTTTGGATACGCTGCTTCAAGACAGATATATAATTCCGCAACATAACATGGATCTGACTTCGTGCATTTCGGCCACACTGCTTCAAGTCAGATATCCACAGCTTCCACGAATCGGGCTTAGGATTTCTGCTTTCGCCCTCAAGGTAGGGTTTCGGCCTCAGGGCTTCGGCTTAACCGAAACCCTGAAGCCGAATCCCGAAAGCCGAAGGCCGACACCGTAAAGCCAAAACACTAAAACCCTGAGGCCGAAACTCTAAGCCCGAAACCCTGAGCCCTAAAGGACGAAACCCCAAAGCCGAAACCGAAACCCGAGAACCAACCAGTGAGTCAAAATTCAGGCACCAGTGGATTTTGTCGGATACGCTGCTTCAAACCAGATATAAAATTTCGGCACACATGTCTGACTTCGTGCATTTCGTTCCAGCTGCTTCAAGTCAGATATCTGGAGCCAACACCAAGCCCGAAAACAAACCCTAAACCCTGGAGCCGAAAACCCTAAGGCCGCAACCCTCAAGCCTAAATCCCAAGGCCGAAACTTTAAGTCCGAAGCCCCAAGGCCCAAGCGACACCTTAAACTTTAGTCCCCAATCCCTGAAGCCTGAAGCCGGAATCCCCAACCCGAAATCTCCAAGGCCGAAACCTAAACCCTAAAAACGAACCCTAAGCCCGAAACCCTGAGCCTTAAAGGACGAAACCCCAAAACTCTAATCCCCAAACACTCAAGCCTAAAGCCGGAACAAAAACCTTAAACCGCACATCCCAAGGCCGACACCGAAACCCTAAAACCGAAAGGCCGAAACCGTAAGGCCGAAGCCCGAAAGCCGAACGGAAACATTTGCAGCCGAAACCCTAAGGCCGACTCCCTAAAGCCGAAACCCGAAACCCAAAACCCTGAATCCGCAGCCATGGCCGAAACCCCAAAACTCCAGTCCCCAAACCCTCAAACCTAAAGCCCAAACAGAAACCTTAAACCGCACATCCCAAGGCCGACACCGGAACCCTAAAACCGAAAGTCCCTCAGGCCGAAACCCTCAGGCCGAAATCGTAAGGCCGAAGCCCTAAAGTCGAAAGGAAACCTTTGCATCCGAAACCCAAATCCGAATCCCTAAGGCCGACACCCTAAGGCCGAAACCCGAAACCCTGAGGCCGAAGCCCTGGGGCCGAAACCCTGAGCCCAAAACCGAAATCTGAAGGCCGAAACCCTAAAGCCGAAATCCCAAGCCGCAACGCCAAGTCCGAATCCCGAAGCCCAACCCAGCAGCCGGACAGGCACGGTTCCTGGATTCGGCTATCGTGGTTCATGAATTGGGGCCTTCGGTTTCCTGAGCTTTGTCGTGTCTGTTCCGATCCGCTGGGCCTCAATTGGTCCATGCAGCTCCTGACTTCTGTGCCTGAATTCCGGGTCAGTTCCTTAATCGGTCTACTCTGTGATGTGGTGCAGCGATCATTGGTTCTCGGTTTGCATCTAAGGTCCTAGATCGGCGCATGTTACGTTCTACTGTTAACAGAGATTGGAAGTCACAATTCTACTGTCAGAATCTCTGACAATGCCACATCAGGCACCTGGACAGTCGAATACTCCAAGACTCATGCTGGTGCTTGCGTCTGGGTTTTCGATGGGAACGGCACAGTGTTTGGCAGAAACCCGTCGGACACTCTCAACAAGTAACATTCGGACACGGCCTTCAACACTGTGCACGAGCCGCGGCAGAGGCTGAAGGAGCTCGCCCTGCATGCAAGAACGCTTCCCGCTTCCAGGAGGACACACGCAATTGTTTCTTCTCTGCGAGCTTTTAGAACATGATTCGGATAGCCGGATAGCCCAGAGCGACTCGATGCCGCCTCGAAAGGAACGAGCGCCAGCAACCTGTCCGGCCCAACCTTGTTCAAACGCTTCAACCATCACTCACGGCGATGGGCTCTTGAGGTCTTGGGCAATCACCGGGCCGCCAACAATGCACTGCACCGGCTTCCCTGGCCTCGGTAAGCAACTTTGGATGATCTCCACGAAACCCTGATTGCTTCTAAGATGTGGACAGCTGCGCCTGTATCATAACCCAGGCAAGGGTAGAGCAAAAATACATAGATATAAAGAGAATGACAAGGGTAGAAGATGTGAAATAGGATTTCACTTCCCCTGCCTGAAGTTGCCGGATGTCAGCAGAGTGACGGGGTACTGTGCGTTGTCCTTCACACTCAGACATCGTCGGCTGCAAATGCGCACTCCAGTCGTGGAGGTCGGGCCTGCTAGGTTCACGCCCACCAGGGCGTCGCTACCGTCGGATCCCTGAGCATGTCTTCGTCTCGCTGCAGGCGCGCCCCTTCTGAGCTTCGCACCAGCCGCTCCCACTTGGCGGCCAGAAGGTAGATGCCTCTCTAGTTCTAGACTCTAAACACTGTGTCACTGTGGTACGTCATGAACCAGAGTCAGTTGATTGAGGCCAGGCCTTTGTGCCAGTGTGCCAACCTTGAGGCCACCACAGCCTGAACTCAGGAATCGTAAGCAGAGCAAAGGTTTCAGTTGGGTTTCTGAACCTCAAAAAGAACGAAGAAGTTGTCCCCATTGTGGCGCCCTCTCCTTGCCTGCCACGTGAAAAGCAGAAAAGGACCGCAGCAAAACCACCAGTCCCGGTTCAGTCAGCTCCCTGCCGCTTCGTCCCTCGCTCGCGCAGGTGTCTGCCTCAGTTTGACCACTGTTAAAGGCTTGCCCAAAAGTGCTCGGAGGGGTTTCGCGGGCGTCCGGCAGGACCAGGCACCCCGAGTCCAGGAGCGGTCGCAGGCGACTGCGGAGAGCCCTCTCAGCGGAGAAGTCCGAGACCTTCAAACTTCCCAGGACTAGGACTGGCCTTGGTATTCGAGCGATGGCGTCCCTGTCGTAGCGCGGATTTGTTCGGACCTCAGACTTACAGTATGCCTTGAGCCTCCACCGGCCGGGTCACAAGCTGCTGGCGTTATCAAACAAAGCAGCTGCTGTGTCCTCGCTCGCGCTTCTGCTTCGAGCGGCCGTGCGCCTGTAGTTCGGATTCCCTGCTAGTCGCTTGCAAATGTTCATGCCGTCCTTCTGCACCCCTCATTGCTAAGGCACTTGCCATATTTTTTCAGGTGGTTTGATGGAAAAGTTTGTGCGGCATACCTGCTAAGCGGCTCTGTTTGCAGAGGTGTGCCAGCTTTCACAGCTCTTGGAACGGCCTTGGAACTCTTTTCACTTGGCAATTCTGATCTGGTGAATGTGTATATACGATGTCTAAGCATCCTGGCAGCAAGCCGACATGTTGCACTCGTAGTCAGCTTCGCTGCAGCTACAGGCAAGAGCTGATGCGCGGGGTCTGTGAAACCTCCCGAGACAAACGGGATCAAGCCTTATCGAGGCAACTCTCAGGTATCTTCATTTCGAAAGAATCCTGCAGCAGCGTTCCAGAGGATGCATGCACATAAGGTATCCACGCTATAAGCTATCTGGAATACTTTGAAATCCTAGTCGCGTCGGCTGTGCAGGTGTTGTCGGCACGGCACAATGCAACACACGTGAAACACCTGCAGAGGCAACGAAAACTTGCGAGAAGAGTTGTGGCGCAAAGCAAGAAAAATCACGTCACAGTGATGTGAAAACCAAAGTCTTTCTCTGTCACGGAACCCTCTAATGTTGCCATTGTCACAGCTGTTTATGATTGGCTTCAGACGTAGTGGCGGACAAATCGATGATGCAGTGAAAAATCGTCCTGTCTTAGGTTGTGGTGACATAGTTAATTCCCACTGTGTGTCGCGCTGTGTTATCAGCTGAGCCGTCGACGATGCTGTTGCAAACATTTGGGGTTCATGCGCGAACGTGAAAGCTGAAATCCAATCTTCAGGGCTCCTTTCTGCAGGCATTTCCCACTCGAGTGCACAGCTTCGTTGCAGGAGCTAGGACATGAGTGCCACGTTCCCCTGAACCACCAGCTGCGACTCACGCCACAAGCCAGACATAGCGACAGTCGCACTTGTCTCTTGCCTCTGGGCAGACAGTTCTGCTTTGGCATGTCCCCTCAATGCATGATTAACATCTGCACCACGACAGCCTGACATGCACCCCCGGCAAGGCCCGAAAACTTCGGGATTGCCACCGACTGGAGGATTCAGCTCGGGTTTACAAAGCAGCACAAACACTTTCACTTTCTCTACATTGCTTTGTTTCAGCAGGAGGCGATCTCTCTCCCTTCGCTCTCTCTTTGTCCATTCGTCCGTCCCTCCGATGTTCATGCTGCCTCCTCCAGATGCAATCCATTCTCGGATTGCTCCCTGAACCAGACAAACGTGGAGACAACGGGCCAAAAGTAGCAGCATGGACGAGCAACAAGAATATGCTGAGATGCAGGCTGCCACCGCAAAAAACACGAGCACGTTGGGGATCTTGGCAAGGCCAAGAAGTCTTGACAACAACTCTTGCCAAACGGCTGTATGTTGACCGGCTAAGCTGACTGTCAATCGTACTCCCAGGATGCCACCATTCCAATCGTCGCAAAAACTTGTTCCGGGCCTTGCAAACCGCAAATCGAAGAACGACTTCAGCCCGCGGTTGCGGATTCTGCCGAGGTCCCCGCTGACGTCTTGTTGGGGGTCCGGTACAGGCTCCGGGTCCTCCATGCTCGGCAGGTAAGAGCGCCGCCTCTCCGCCGCAAAGGCCTCCTGCAAGCTGCGGCGACAGTTGCGGCTGGGCGCTTGCATTATCACAGGCCTGGGCGGTCATCATCCACGCGGCAGCTCCTGCTCAGGCATTTGGCTCTGGGGAGGGGGAAACCTGGTAGACACTCTTCGGGAGAGTGGATTTGTCGAGTGCGTTTAGACGGTATGAATCGAAAACACCGCAAAAAGCTACGAATCTGGGGCAACCGTTTCCATTTATGTATGTTGAATACGAACGTGTTCGGCACCAAAATCGGATGTCCGATTGCATGGTAGCTTCCCTTGACACGTCAACAGGTGAAGTGTCATGTTGAGCAGCAATAGACCTTCTGATGGAAATGCAAGACCGTCAATGAAGCACGTTAAGAGGAGAGTCGAAACATCTTTATGCCATATAGGTGTCGAATGTACATATGATCGAGCCTTCCTCATTTCCCAGCTGCAAGTACCTCTGCGATTGCTACTCAATTGATTTCTGCTACATGTTTATGTACGTGCGTGCATACTCAGTCAGTATTTAAGTAAGTGTTCGTGTAGTTCAACAGCAACTAGTTCTAACCGAATTGGGAATGAATGTTTGGTAAGCACTTATTGCATACATAGTATGCGTATACTTTCTCCATGCTCTAAGCTAATATGCAACTCGTACTTGTTTAAACATCTGTTTGATATTTTAGTAAGGGTCAATATTGAATTATGTAATTGTGTCTATGTCCCATCTTGACGAAGCTGACATGTATGTTGTATTGAGATTATGTGCGTGTAATTGTACATGCTTACAGGTTGACAATAGTACCGTACTTTCAATGATATTCAACACAGGTAACTGTTCAGGCAACTAATATGGAATACATGTGTAGTTCAAACTCAACGACAAGGTCAACCGCATGTAACTGATATTGCACAGATGGCAAGAAACTGCTCAATGCAAGGAAAGTAGCGTGACAGCTAGTCCGATACCCGTTTCACGAATCTTCAGAATTATACATTACAGATACCTATCTTGAGGTTATCTATTTCACCTGTCATGCCTTGGCCCTTTCATTAGTAGATGATGATTCGTTTGTGCGTCATCACCGTTAATCCTTGTCTGATGACATAAAGGATACTCAACATGCCCGGGAACAAAAATACTGAACGAGTACGTCTTCACCCTTGAAAGACTATTTACCTACTCGATATTACTCGAAAAGATAATTATCAAACTTGTACCAGTATTGGTTAGCTTTGTACGAGGCTCAATGAATATTGTTGAAATAGTAGATGAGATCCAGCTTATGCTACGTGAAGCCAAATTGATTAGTCATCAGTTTTGCATTGAATTAACCTGTATATATTGTGGTTCAACACGTACAACACTTCCTTAAGGATATACTAAATGTTCGATTGATGTGAACACATAGTGGCACAGAATCCGAACACGTTCAACATAGTCTGTACATACATTTCCTATGTTGGCCATAAGCATCAACTAGCAGTTTCCCCTGGCACGAACATCATGCATACAGTTTGCAGATTGTTTGTTGGTTTTATACTCCTTTACAAACTAAGAATGCATGCTTGAGTGCGTGCATGTGTGCTTGCGTGTGTGCGTGCGTGC